ACACTTCTGGATTGCGCGTGCAGTGTGCTAAGCTTATAATCATGGCATCTCCTCTTTCACATAACGGCGTATATATCTGCAAAGCCCACAAATAGCATAAATACATTAATATTTTTTATGTGGTAAAGACTAAAATGAATGTAAATTCTCAGACTCTATGAGCACAGGCTGTCCATGAAGGTATCATCCAATAATAAAGAGTCATGATTTGACAGAAGTTTGAACTGCGGTCTTGTTATTTATATAAAAATAGTGGGTAGATGGGGAAACCAGCATCTCATTCACAGCACTGAAAGTGCCAACCCGTGAGGAACAGGCTGAAATAAAAGTGTTACTTTTTGCATACAGTGGCTGAGATTCGAGCTGGAGTTCCAGATTAAAATAAACCTACCTGTAAAAAGCAACCACATCTTTTGTTGTGCGCCTGTTAACCTGAATTTAATGATTTTCTTTATTTTAAACAATTAATTTGTTGCCACCAGACTAGACATACGCTGTACAGTCAGGGAGAGCTACATATTTTGGGGTATGTGAAAAATAAGTGTATATCTATTGACCTCCTTTGCCAGTACCAAAACATGAGAATAGGGTTTTCCTATTTTATCTGGCAACAAAACAGGTGTTAAGTTGTTAAAACACGAAACTGAAACCTTTGTTTGCATTTTGACCACAAGTATTGTGGTTAATTACAGACATGATTTCTTGTTAAAAGTTTCAGTTTGGTGTTTTAACAACTTAACACCTGTTTTGTTGCCAGTTAAAAGGGGAGAAAAACCTAATCCCAATAAAGTGTATACCAAAAAATAATCATGAGTGATCATCAACAGCGTGTCCTATAACTGCTGCCAATAGCCTTGGGCTGGTAATCCTTGTGTAGCGTCGGAAATGCGCATCTTATACCGTCAGTATATATACTTACCTGCAGTTGCGGGCACAGGCCCATAGGGGGTACCACCCTGAGATGGGGAAGGTTAAAGAGAGACCGTTGAGGGGCCGGGTTCTCCCCCCACAGACCCCAGGTGAGGGGTTGGGGGGTTCTTCCAGTGCCCCCAGGAAGGTTCCACAAAGGGGGCGGTACCGGGGGCGGAGAGTCCCCAGGAGGTGTATAAAAGGGGCACCTCAAGCACAGCTCAGGGCAGTGTTCCGAAGACGAAGAAAGAAGACCAGCCTAGCTAGGACCCCTTGTAAGGGCCGGGGCCGAGCGCGGACCAGTGGTCAGGACCCGAACCTTGGCTGGGTCAGGTCAGAGTAGCTCCCTAGCTAGGACCCTAGGACCTCGGGCCCGTAGTCCTTGTAAGGGTCGGGCCGAGCTCGGACCAGTGGTCAGGACCCATACCTTGGCTGGGTCGGGTCAGTTAGCCTCCCCTAGGGCACAAATATCCGGAGGGCCAAGAGCCAGGTTGACTAAGTGTGAGGGCACGCTAGCCCGGAGTCTGTACCTCCCTAGATAGTGGGAGTTAAGAGGAGTCTTGTTCATAGTTACAAATAAACCGTATTGCCTCTAAAGACAACGTCTCCAGTCTCCGTGGAACCCACTACACTTGTAAAAGAGCTGTGTAGCTCAAAGGGCCTTTACCAGGTGAGATAAAGGCTAATTCTAATGTAACAGAAGCATTCAGTAACACCATATATATTGGTAGACACCAATAACTCAGCTCGATGCTTTGGTGGACACGTGGAGATTTAACGGGATGAAACTCATGTAATATAATCTTCATACCACCACGTTTGTGTGTGGGTGCAAGTTTTATGGAGAGCAATAGTGCGGTGTTAGCGCACTGCGCTGCCAACCCGGCAACCCAAGTTTGTTTCCCAGTCATTGCTAACATCAATGATAATTATCTGAACCATAATTATCTGAACTGGTTCTGGGCCTCCTCGAGACCAATTTTGCCTTAAAATGAGTACCTGGTATGCTGCATCGGCCTTGATGGATGCTCGCTAACAGCACTTTCCCCAACCACATTAAACCATACTGAGGGTCTTTGTATACTTTTTTTTTACCTGGCTGAAACTACTGTCAAATAATACTATAACTATAAATGATACCCTCAATGACACCCTTTATATCATCAACTGCCTTTAAAAAAAGTCGGAATAGCATCTGTATACATGTTCAACACAGACACAGTGAATATACAAATATAATATAACCTCTATGGGGAGGATACTTTTCTTCAAACCATAATAATGAACTTATAACAACTTAAGAAAAACAATTGCTGATCGCTATAAAATATTACGAGTAAGAAATACGTGGTAAAAGTCTCAGCTACATCATTCATTAACCCCCCACCCATCCACATTCCTTGGTGTATGCTCATGGGAGCAGAGTTGGTCACAATGTGTGAAAATAATCAATTATAATCAACACTGTGAAGCAAGCGGTCATCACTTTCGCTAAAGTAAATCTCTGTTTCGCTACTTACAGAACTCCATATCATTTCCCACACTAATGATCATTATACCCAATTGATCCCCCGAGACAATCATTATAGGCAGGACAATTTTCCATCAAAATATAAGGGGGTGAACCCATCCTTACAAAAGTGATTGCATCAAATAGCTTTACACTGAAGCCAGCGATCACTGATAATATAATTATGCAGCATATCCGTGATGTTCGGCTTATTACTCTTTTCAACACTAAGAGCGACCGTGTTGTAATTAACCTCACAATGTATAAATGGATTTTGACTTCAGACAAATAAAGAGCATCAGCTGAAAATGCGTGACTTGGTTGTGCCTTTTGTAAATCGTATTTTTTTCACGGTGGCAGTATTGGCTAATTAATGCACACTCTTAATGCTTACGTACAATTTTTACATTCTTCATTGGAGCACTCCTTTGATGTGACAAAAATAAGCTTGAAAGCTTTCGGGAGCTGAGTAGTTACACCGGATACCGGCAAACACTGATAACGATAGCAGGGACAAAGCTCGCATACTCACGTTGAGAGAGAGAGAGTTCGCTGCCGTCAATCTACACTGACTAGCGTGGTGAGGTACAGCCAAACAACAGCCTCCATTATTGTCTCCAGAAGCCCTGGATTCATCATTTACGGTGTCGGTAGGGAATGTGTCGAAGCAGCGGGGGGGGGGGGGGGGTGCGGACAATCCCGGGGTATGGGACAGGGCATTCATCTTGACTTGACCATTGCTACGTATAGCACGCAGACTTTGTCTATTTGGTGGTTCAAACCTTCGCAAGATCAACGCAGTACAGGGATAAATTAATTTGGACATTAACATGAGGAGAAAGGGAGAGAACTCTGCACATCCCCAATAATGAAAAAAATATATATCAAAGTATTTCGAGAGGAGTGGTGTTCTTAATTTCTACAGGAATCAAAGCTGATCATTTTCATTTTAAGTGTTTCAGATAGAATTACCTAACTAACATTAAGTGTCTCAACCACGACAAGTGAAAGTACACAAAATATATTATCCAACAACAAATTGCGAAGGAGTAGACCAAATATACGAATGGACCAACTTTTAATTGAGTGGCAAAACACACTTCAACATCCACGCAAGGTAAGTGGGAGGAGCCTACACAAATGGAAAGCACAGGAGAATGCGTTTACCTATGGCATTTATCGAAGGAGAACTGGATACAAATGATGAAATGGAGTGAATGAGTACAAGATTGAGTAAACTGAGGTTGATAACTTTGAAGAAGAAAGTCTGCAATCAGTGCTTCTTATCAACCATTAAATATGGACCAGATACCATGGAAACCCTCAAATTAAATGGTGCAAAAGTTGAAATTATTAAAAATATAAATCATGGAAAGGTGCCAACTTGGATATACACTTTGTATGCATGTATATTGGACTTATTTCGCATCGTACTAAGCCAACCGTGCTAATTGGAGGTGCAAGTCCAAAATTACTCAACCGAGACGATGGAGTAATGAGATTAACTCATATGCAAGAGGGAGATGAATTGTAGCTTTGTAGTACTGTAAGGGATCACGATCACTTCAGCCGCCAGTGGAAAGAGCATGCATGTTGGTGATTATACTAAATTATCACACACAAGTGTTGAACGTCATGAATACCAGGTAAACAACACACGTGCCAGCAATACATGTCACAAGTAGTTAATATGGCTATACAAGCTACGAATGGTGTGGTATCTGTTTGCAATTGCTTAAAATTCAACATAATTTTGTCTGCAAAGAATTAAATAATAAAAGATGGATATGACGCGTTTTCAGCTATGCAGCTACCAGCATTTGCTTTTAACTTTTTATAGTCTAAAGTGGGATAATATCACATGTAAAGTCATACTTACAGCGTTACCACTGACCCGTGTGGAACACTGGGTCACACCAAAGTAGTTTTTCACCATTAATACGGGATAAAATACAACCACAAATGTCTATTTTTAATTTCCTTTTTAAGGTGACATTTAAAATATTACCCAATTAGAGCATTTTCCGGAGGCTATTCATGAAACCTTCAAAAGGTCAATGACATTGTTGTCCTCTTGGTGTAATGATTAATCTTCTCTGGCTTATTAGTGAAGTTAAACATAACATTGTCCTTTACTGTGACATTAAACAAAGTGCTCAACACTTATATGACTTATTAAAGCCGATTGCTTAAACTAATATTAGCTAAAAGTACAATAAACAGTTTAACTTAAGTGGAAGTATGGTACCATGTGTTCTCACTTAACAAAGAGGCAATCCTTTACTTGCAAACCATCAAGTCTGTGGACATTAAACATCACACTATAAACAAAATACAGTTCTTTGCGTTCCAATAGCACTGCCAAATTAACAATCTAAAGTAAGTAATTTAGTTTCCAGCGCCGACACTTACGACTCAATTTTGTGCTTTAGTGCACCACGAAGCTCCCTACTCGTTCACTGTTGCAGTGCATGGCACTGTAAATAAATTCATGGTGTCACTGCTTTAGGTGTTAAATTAAACACACACTTAGTTGGGATTCCTTCAAGTGCAGAGCGTTAATTGTATGTATATAGCTCACCTGATGGTAAGATGATCAATTGTCGAGTTGTGGAGGAGGCACACAGGAATACTTAGAATGTCATCGAGCTTTGCTGGGTTTGTCGGGAGGTAAATCACGACATTATTATCAAGCCTTGCCTCCTGCTGCTCTGGAGGCTTGCGGGAAGGCGCGTGCACGATGACTCTCCCAATCGGCCGAAGGAGTTGCTTTAAGCGCCTTGTATCTGCCTCATTTTGTGTACGGAAATCATGAACGGTTTTAGACATGCCAGAGCCACACTTGCCTTCTTCATCGGGAGGAAAAATTTCAGAATACAATTCAATGAGTCCAGACGTCACTGCGCCATCCTTGGGGAGCTTTGAGTTTGAATTGCTGGCAGTTTGTTCAAACCACGTCGATGGTATGGCCAGTTCCACCAAGCACATCCCAAGCTCTCCTGCCAGTCGGCAAGACGTCTTCAACTCCTGTACTTTTGAGAGAGCTTGTAGTTTCACGCATGGCAGGTCATCTGCTTGTTCCTTTTTATTCCAATCCCTTCCAGAAATATAAAACACAACTTGGAGCTTTGGGTTAGAAGAGAAGACCTCGTGTTGTAGAACGTGGGCTTGAAGATTCCAGTTGGTCGTCAAGCCCGCTGACTTTTGTGGGAAAATATTCTCAAAACCAAGCGGATTTTTGGGCAGTGGTTGCCACGTGGAAAATGATCCCAGACTCACTTTGATGCCAGAGTGCTCTTTGGTACTGTTCAGGATTAAAATTGGCTGTGTGAGAGCGTGAAGGCTTGTGTTTAATGGTTGAGCGTCCTGTTTTGTGTTCTTCAGCAAGAAGAAGGACTCTTCATCTTGAAGTTCATATTTGAGTGGCAGGTATGGTATTGTTAAAGGTGAATGGTCATTCCCAAGCATGAGAGGCATGGCACTAAGATAAGGCATACCTAGAAGAAAAACACAAACAAAAAAACAACAATTTACAGCTGATATTTAAAGCCAACGTAAGTTGTTACAGTTTTTAAAGCATTCACAACACACATTGAACCGAAATGCTGCAAAAAAACACCCACATATCTTTTTGAATTGTATTAAAATAATGTTAAACATTTTATATCTGTAGTTAGTCATTCCATTCATTTGCAAATAATGTATATTCAACCGATAAAATAAATTGTTCAAAATGATCTAGTCTATGAGTTAGAATGGTAGATGTTACTTTTTTACAAATATGACTAAATGTGGACATTTTTAATTTGGTAGTCTTATGGGCAGAGATCATAATACATTTTATTTCCAAATTATACATCTTTTACTGTCCATATTTTTAAATATCATGCATTATGCAGGAGAAAACCCCATCCACTCTTGACATTTTAATCACATTGAGAGCACAATGATGAATCTTGAAAGGTTTTAGGGCCACATGACAGTCATTTTTATTTTTTTAAATTCATGGGCGATTGACACACTGTATTACTGTCACATTTGGTATAACTGACAAATGTATAAATGCCAGAGACAAGAATATGTCACAAATTTGACAAGTGACAGACATTATGAATTCACCATCTTCTATGTCTCGAAGCAAGCATTGCAAGCGCTTCCAGTACCGTTTCTCAGAACAACATATACCACCCAATATAGGCTTGTATACATTCTGATACTGTTTTTTTCTTAAACAGGCATCATTTATGACAATTTCTCAAATAGGCATCGGCGTTTACGGTTAGATTCAGGTCAGATTAGGACACGCAGAAAGCTGTGGTTGAGTGTTTATACATGCATATATTAAATAAAGGTTGGCTGAGGTTTACCGGTAAGGCCACATTAAAAGCTTTGGTTGAGTGTGTTTTTATACGTATAAAGGTCAGCTCTGCGTGTGGTGCTTTACTCTTCTGCTGCAGGCAGAAAGCTTCCACTTTTAATCAAGTACATACATTTCAAGTATTTAAGCATAAAGCACTCATCCTTATTGTAGAGAGCGAACACGGAACTTTACTGTAAAACAGACTCATTCTCTGTATGTGGTGTATTTCACGAATATGAAGATACAAAGTTGTTTCTTTACAATTTGCAGCCAATTTGCGGTCCAAAATGTTTGCTGTTGTATTCTACGGGGATATATCGACGACCGAGGCCCTTTTAGGAGGGCTCCAATGGTTGTTTTATGGGGAAGGAGGCTCTGGCAATTGGCGAGTCCAGCCCCTTGTGGGGGATTACCGCCCCTCATGGTGGGCACAAGGACAAAGCCCTGTCTAGAAGGCTGACTTTCAGTCTATCGCAACAGTGATTTTTGTGATATAAATAAAAAAATGTATATACAGGGTGCTTCAATTTTTTTAACACTTCTGAGAATTTGCAACAACACCACGAGAAATGTGCCTTCGGGCTCTGGAGACCACCTGGAGAAGATTCCAGGCGCGCGTTGACAGTGATGGCGAACAAGTGGAGACTCTTTGACTTTTGATCATAATCGTATACAGGGTGCTTCTACATGCATTTAAAATGTATGTGGGACTATCGTTTTTAAAGGAAAAGAACGGATAATACACTGTAAGATGATAATAAGTGTATGTTTATAGCTTAAAAAGTCGAAGAGTCTCCACTTGTTCGCTTTCATTGTCAACACATGCCTGGAATCTTCTCCAGGTGGTCTCCAGAGCCCAGAGGCACATACCTTGTGGTATTGTTGCAAATTCTCAGAAGCGTTAACATTTTTTGAAGCACTCTGTACATAATTAATTGATCATACAATGTCCCGTGAGCATTTGGCAGCGTATAAGCACAATACCCTCAGTTGAGTGTTTTGTCTGAACAATCTTACCTCCTGCAGTGATAGAATGTAGCCCGTGCTGAAACAACAGTTGTAATGCAGCCCAGAGGGGAGCATGTGTACTGCCTAACCGCTGTGCTCTTTAGTATCTCTTAATTCCCAGTGACACTCTTTGGAAATGGTGGGTGGCCCTCACAGATGCGCTCGCAATCAGAGTTGTGTTCAAGAGACCAGTGGCAGAGTGAGGCAAAAGAAAACCAAGCAAAAGCTTCAGGCTCCATGCAGCTCATGAGGCTCCAGACTCATGAAAAAAATGGAGTGCCTCAAATATCTGACCAAATGCAAACCTTAGTAAACATAACAAGCTATTTGCCATTAAAAAAGCAAATTAATCCCTTCCCCAACATTTCTATATTATCTGTATCTCACCGCTGCATCGATATTTTCTCATCTCACTACAACTATACATCTTGTCTGCATCTCTTCTGGAATCTCGCTAAGATTTTACAGTTTGAAAAGGGGTCACCCCCCACCTACTGGGCTCACATTCCACTGAAGGAGACCAATTTCTCATGTTAGTGGATCAGATTTCGTATTAGATTATGCTCATCTTACATTGGCATACTAATTTTAGATGTAAGTATCTTTTTGTAAACACATACAACCGTACGGTACTGTTGAATACAATTGACACGAACATATAGTTTAAAATGTACTTTTTGTCACAACAATAAAAATGCATGCTAAGGTATTGAATTGTTACACCCACGGCATATAATTATCAGAGAAGCCCCACTCCCCCCATAAATAAACACAAGTAATACAACCATATTGTTTTCGTTTTATAACGCATACATGTTGCGTTGCTTACAAAGCCACTGTCACGTTTATTTTAAATGCTTAGAATCCTGCTAAATATTCGTTGTGTTTGGTATCTTCTTACACACTTGTAACACACCACCACACCCATGTATGATGTATGCTCCATGTATTTCCACCTGGTGTCCTTTGTAAAACCAACAAAGTTGCCTCATTGGCCATTCCCTTGCCTATGAATAAAGCATCTGAACTGTGTACTGGAATATTACTTTTCCGCATAATTATTTTCACAAAATCCCCAATACATTCACAAAAAAGTACCCATTGTAGTGGTGACCTCCTCGCCAGATGCCACAGAGCAAGACACAAACGAATGTAAAAACGGACCATGAAGGCGATCAGGCGACCCATCGACTTTGTTGAACAAGCAGCTCCCCACTGAAGTCCCGACCGGCATATTTTATTTTTGTAAAGTTATTTCACTTACACTAATGTTAAAATACAATTTTTGTTGCCACAATTTTCCTGTTCAAGCAATTTGTGCAGATTGTACTCGTCAGTGGCTCAAGACAAACGTGCTGACAGATTCAGAACCAGGAAAAGCATGCACAATTAGAATTGGTCTCTCTGTTAGGCGCTGGGAGGCTTTGTTTATTTAAGTGGTTGTTGCACTGTTCATGCTGGTGCCATAGCTAGGGTTGTCCATCTGAGGATATATCACGGGTGGAAAAATATCTCACAATAACGGAAGAGGAGATGACTATGTGTAAATGTAACATCTATCGTCTTTGCTAATTGTATGAGTGAACAAAATTGCACTAATGAGATGTTTAAAAAACATACAACAATCAAATGAGATAAGCAGACTCCTTTCATACTGAGAAGGGCATAGATTTATTTTTCTAAGTGTGACATTTGGAACTTCATCCTCTTTTCTAAACGCGATCCAGACGATGCTTGGCTTCGATCTTCCACGAAGCTAATGGACCACAACTCTAAACCTCATCTGCACAAACCATGCGGACACTTGATGCACAAATGGAAAAGAAAAACTCTCCAGTGTGCAACTGTGTTCACCCAGACAAGACCATGGAAGATAGAGTGACTCAATGGCTGATTGACGAATCGAAGGAGGCAGCTGTGTTGCTCAAACATCTCAATGTAACATTTGAGTTGTTGCTTTATATCAACATCATCCATACGAAAAACAAGATCTGCAAAATGGTTTCATGCATCATCACGTGATATTTTTTTGTTATAGAGACCCGAGACATCAAACCATTTTTCAGGAAGCATAATAGAGATTGGTATAACACGTGTGCCTGATTTGACCAAATGTTACCAAATCAGGCATTCAGTTTTAGCTGAGTCAATATATATATGGGGATGCTAAGGTCTGCTGAAAATATACATTACATGGCCAGGAATCAAACTCAATTTGATGGCATCATAATGCAGTGCAATCAACACTCTGTGCATCATCTCCCATATATAAGGTGATGGACTCATGAAGCATACTGATTCAACATCTGCAATTTTTAATTAAATAATATTACAATTGTATGCATCATATCGTATGCAAAAAGACCTGGGCCAAATATAGATTATTATATGAGACCAGTTTCTGTTATTCCGAATACAACCTTGCATACTACATGAAATGTAGCAAATTTTATTTTGTATGCGCTGCTGTAGTACAGAGTAATTAAAAACACATATTAGTTCCCTGCTGTGCCAACTTTAAAAAAAAAATTAATAATACTTGAATAAATTACAAAATTCTATATGAAAAGGGAAAATTGCAATTTCATGCAAAATACAGTTTTCCTACAAATGACTTTCTACATTTTTTTGCTATTTTTTATATATATATTAACCCAGCGGGAGACCGGTAATGCGGCTGACACAGCACAAGAGCCACTAAGACATTTATTCTTGTAAATTTATCAAGGGGCAGGGATTGTACCGATGCAACTGGTTTTGCATATTTAATGTAATTTTACAGCGTGTGAGGAGAGTACAAAGCACTCACCTTGCGGGCCTCATCGTTGCCCTCACAAGGAATGATGACCGAGTCACATTCATGCCAATCTCTCATATATTTTCAATTACAATGACCGCGTATGATATACTTGCTGGATGAATAGTGTTTAACACGTATCGTTTTTTTGGTATTAGATCGCGTAAATATAAGTGTCGTCAAACCCGCCACCACCCGGGTTTACTCTCCAACCCACAACCGGTGTGCTGTACTCGTAACGAATTAGCATGTCTGTTTACGTGACAAACCTTACTAATTGGCTGTGTCGGGTGGTGGCGAGTTTAACAACACATTTATATTTACAAGATCTA